AGAGAGAAGAACGCTTCCGAGGAGAGAGAGAGAGAGAGAGAGAGAGAGAGAGAGAGAGAGAGAGAGAGAGAGAGAGAAGGAGGGAGCTGAGGTTGATGGACGTGGAGTTGCAATTTTCTTTGTCTTGTCTCTCTCTTTGCTTTTGTATATAAATTTTGATCTCGGCTCCGGGCGACTTGCCCGTTTTCTTTTTCGGAATCCTTGTCTTGGTTTCAGCCCACACTCGTTTTTGCGATCGATCGTGATCTCGTTTATTGTGTGTCTTGTCGAATGAATGGATGAATGAATGTTATGTCCGTTGCTTTTATTTTGTCTGGTCCTTGCCTTTGCTTGCCATTAGGATAACCCCTATTTGCATATTCGTCATTATTACTTCCATTGTGGTTTGATCCGCTGTTGTTCTGATGTTGCTATGATGTCTGATGTGTGTTAACACCTTGGGTGCTCAGGAATGATTGCTTGCGGGATCACGGAGTGATTAGGTGATTGGGTAGTTGTTTACGGCACACGGCGATTTTGCATAAGGAATTAGGCTCTCCTTTTCCCAGAAACAAGTGAACACCCCGCAGGGACACGCGTAAGCGCGATTCGATCTGCACAGCCTACACGTGCCCACTCGTGCCGCTTCACGACTATTGATGAACCTGTCATCACGCCACAATGATAAGATGTCCCGCTCCTGGGACTCGAAGTACTTCGACCCTTGGGTGAGAGAATGTATTAGGCAACGATACCCGGAATTCCCCTGCCTAACCGAGAACCGATTATGCCCTAGGGAGTTTCACTGTGCCGTAACCAGCGATCCGAGGTGCCTTGATTTTCCCACTACGGATAATACACAATACTTCATATCCCCCGGCCTCGTCGTTATCACTACCAATTTTCCTCCCTTCCGTATCCTCCTCCCCTATCACCAACTTACGGTGGTACCGTGGAATTCCATCGCCCCGTATTGGCCCCGCACGCCCTGCGAAAATTATCAGCGACGCGGCAACCGACGAGCCCCTGAAACTAGAGGGCCTAACTAAAACGCGCGACGACACACGCCACGTGTCCACACCCGAAGGTCCGACTCATCGGAATCACAACCATCCCGGGCGGGCCTCTCCCCAAACCGTCGCCAACAAAACCGACGGATCGGACGACCGTGAATGCGCCGCGCATGCCATCTGCCTTATGCTGCATGACCTCGACTGCCATCAGACCGGAAATAACTCGCCCCTCAGCCCTATTGCATCTATACCCCTGAAAGTTTGCCACAGGAGATCTCAGTTTCGACCTGAGACTCCACTCCCACTTTCCCAAAAATCCTTGGCACACCCCTTTTCGCACTTCCAGACCCACATCCCACTCCGATCAGGAAGTCGCATTAGGCGTGAGGTTTGGGCGTCACAATATCTTGTTGAGAGTGGGTAGTTAGAGGCATAACGTTGAGGCTTACTCCCAGTGTTGAACACCCCGACCATCAGCGACCCTTGACTGGTTGGCACCTACTGGTCGGGGGTCGGCGACACCCCGCAATATTTTTTATTTTATTTTTTTGCGTTCAGAACCCCTAATAACCCCACGAACACCCCCATACCTACCCCACATACCCCCATACACCCCCCCAACACCCACAAACCGCCCTCCAACACCCTCATACCCCTCCCCCAGTACCCCCTATATCACTCCTATACCCCCTATATCCCCCTATACACCCCTCCCCCAACCCCCCTATGCCCAAAAAATTCTCAGCGGATTTGGGCCGTACTCAGCAAGCGCAGTACAGCTTCCAACTCAGATCTGAAAAAAAAATAGTGGATGGTTATTTTCTGACTGGTCGGCAGACCGCCGACCGGTTGGCCCTACTGGTCGGCTGCAATACGGTCGGCGGTCGGCAGGGATGCAACCATGCTTACCCGTTAAAAGTTTTATGTTGCTCCTTGGTTGGAGAAGGAATATGGGTTGCAGCATGTGCTTGTACTTTGATCTTTATGTATATGGGACGCTGGCCCCGTTTTCCAGCACGTGATGCTCCCCACAAATAGATGGAGTTATGAATTGATTGTAAAAAAGGGAAGAAAAAAAAAATGAGCAGTTTCAGTTGCCACAGCGTTGAGTTGCCTCAACTAAACGGTTCAAGTGGGACGTGGTCCCGCGCAACGTCCGACTAAAAAATTTTAAGAAGCAAAACGGTAAAGGAAGGGAGTCTCCTTTCTTCTCTCAATCTCAATCCCAATTAAACCCTTAAGCGTGGTTTCTTTAGGCCACACAAACACTTAACATAGGTATGTACGTATATATATAGAGAGAGGGGAATAAATATGTATTGATCACTTCTAACAATCATAGTGAGACTCCTCTCAACCATATATATGTATGTGATTGCAGGCAGTCAATTCCAAAGTTCGAACCACAAAACATACCTGCAATCACATCAAAGAATCAACCAAAAGTCCATACACTACACGGGGTCAACTTCAACCATTCTCTATACTTATACCCCTTGCTTTAGTCATGCAAACCCCAACCTTTATCCAACTTTTCAAAATAAGTACTCAGTACCTTTGTTAAATGACCATTCGATAAAAGTCCGGGTGAAAACCTTAATAAAATAATTAAAATCACCACGCTAAAACCTTTAGGTTGAGTAGTCGAGAGTGGATCGGAGTTGAGTCGTAAGGCGACGAATCGACAACCGACCTGTTATCAATGGTAACAAAAAATTATCCCTGTAAGATCAAGCTGAACTAGTCCAAATCATGAGTCAGAACGATCAAAGGGAACTGTATCATGAAATAGATCAACGCCAAAGTTAAATCATCAGTGTATGGGGAACGAATCTCCATAACACATTCTTACTCAAAGTTGTCTGCCAACTAAGTCTAAGCCTACCCCTAAGTCAGTGTCCAAGAAAAAAAGAAAAGACCTTTGACAAAGTCTCCCCTATTCAGGGTGGGTTGCCAAAATTGCCACCTGTCAAAATATAATCTAACTCCTCCTGATTAAGAAAATTTCGGCAGCGCTTCCCGTTATAAAAATATTTTTTCATAATTTATATTAGCTTAAATATGATAACTGAAACAAT